AAGATTTTATTTGATTATACATATATATGTATATGTATACATATGTGTGTATGTAGTGAAGCTAATTCATTTTTCATAGGGGTAGTTTGACTGTAGCGTTAACTTATTTGTGTTATGAGTAGCTTGATTAGTAGTATTAGTAGTATAGTAGTATTTCTCCAATACTGGTGTGTGTGAGGTTATGTAAAATACCCCAAAGCCAACTAAACATGACTGTTTATCTCAGTCTTCCAGTGATATCTCTCAGATCCGAGAGCTTCAGGCTGAAATGGAGGAACTGAAGAAACAGAGACAGACCCTACAGGAGGAGGTGAGACAGACCTGCAGACAGACACATTGAGATATAGATGTGTGATGCATTAGATGTGCATATGAACATATTACTGTAACATGGGCCGACTCACAGTTTACTACTGCTATGTACTGCACTTCTGTTACTGTTAGTAAAGTTCGTACTTTTAAGTATGAAATACACTAATATGGAATAATGTAAGAAAAATGCATATATGTATGCATGAATGCATACTTTAGAAATCCATCAGAAGTAGAACACTTTTTAAAAAAGCTTATTTTCAGCGTATTATGATTTGGGACACAATGGAAGCTTGTTTTTTTTAATTGCGACTTTTAATCTCACAATGTACATAAATGCAAACTCGCAATTGTGAGAAAAACAGTTGTGAGATGAAGTGTCACAAACAAACAGTATTGTGAAATGTAAACAGAATTCACAGGGGAAAAAATGTAAATTACTAGATGCAAACTCAAAATTCTGAGAAAAGTCATAATTGTGAGATGCAAATTCACAGTTATGAGTTTATAACTTGTAAGTGTAAGATATAAACTCACAATTGTGAGAAAAAAAGAGAATTTTGAAAAAAAAAAAAGTCACAATTACCTTTATTTTTTATTCCATGGCACAAACAAAAAACAATTGCAAAATGAAAAAAAAAAATTAGAATTCAGAGAAAAAATGTCAAAATTACAAGATGCAAATTCAGAATTTTGAGAAAAAAAGTTATAAATTCGCAATTCTTGCAATTGTGAAATAATAAACACAATTCTGAGAAAAAAGTCTAAATTGTGAGATATAAACTTGCAATTGCAAAAAAAAATAAAAAATCTGAATTGTGAGATAAAGTCGCAATTACCTTTTTTATTTTTGGATTCTGTGACGGTAATAATCTTCTATAAGGACACACTAATCCTATTCTGTTGTGAACATGGAGTAGACATATTGTTGTTGTATTTTCGTAACCCAGCGGTGCTTATCTTCCCAGCTGCAGACCAGCGTAGCACGTGTGCAGTTTCTAGAGTCGTCCACGGTGGCCCGCAGCATCGTAAGCAAGCAAGAAGCTCGTATCTGTGATCTAGAAAACAAATTGGAGTTCCAGAGAGGACAGGTCAAGAGATTTGAGGTCAGTCCAGACCCATTAACAGCTTCTCACTTTCTGCTCTTTCTCAGAGAGGATCTTTACAGTCTTACAGTGTGTGTGTGTGTGTAGGTGCTGGTTCTGCGTCTGCGGGACAGTGTGGTGCGGCTGGGTGAGGAGCTGGAGCAGGCGGCCCAGGCTGAGGCCAGGGAGAGGGAGAAATCCCGATACTATCAGCTGAGACTGGCGGATATGAAACTGGAAATGGATGACCTGAGCGTCAGAGAACAGGAGAGCAGCCGTCGACGCATGGAGCTGGTGAAGCAACACATTATTCTTCCCTATTTATTTTTACGATATTTAACACACAAATAGTAGTTTATCATGACTATGGAAGTCCTAAAAGGTTATTTTATTTATTTATTTATTTATTTGTGATCACAATTTCATTTTCCTTCATTTTCTTTCATTTATCAAAAAAATTGTTAAAAAATAAATTAAAGAAATGGTACATTACTTAGATATTCATTTTGAGATTTAAGAATACACTTATATTATTATTAATATATTTTATATATTTTAGTATATTATAAATATGAACTTTGAGGGTTAGAGGACGGTAAAGCTCATCAAAATTTATAAATATGCTAAATTTTATATCTGATATATATCGGTATATACCATTTGAAAAACCACACAAAAATTTGGGGACACTAAGATTTATTTTGAAAGTCTCTTCTGCTCACCAAGGCTGCATTTATTTAATAAAAATACAGTAAAAACAGTAATATTATGAAATTTCATTACAATTTAAAATAACTTTTCTGTTTTAATATATCACAAAAAATGTAATTTATTCCTTTGACGGCAAAGCTGAATTTTCAGCATCATTACTCCAGTCTTCAGTGTCACGTGATCCTTCAGAAATCATTCTAAAATGCTGATTTGCTGCTCAAGAAACATTTCTTAATATTATCAATGTTGAAAACTGCTGTTTAATATTTTCATGGAAACCGTGATACTGTTTTTTCAGGTTTTTCTGATAGATAGAAAGTTCAAAATAACAACATTTGATTGAAATGAAACTCCTTTGTAACATTATAAAGGTCTTTACTGTAATTTTTGATCAATTCATGCATCTTTGCTGAATAAAATTATTAATTTCTTAAAAAAAAAAAAAAACTTACTGAACCTAAATGTTTGAACAATAGTATGAATACCAGTAAAGTAAAAAAAATATCAAATTACTCATATGGTTCTAATATATTGTGTATCCCTAAGAATAATGTCAAATATAGGTGTGGAATCTTTCATTTCTGTAATATATTGAAATTAAAAATGGTGCATTCATTTCTGATCCTTAAAATGATCTAAAAATTAACTGCTTTTGTGAAACTCCATGACACATTGAAAAGACATGTCCTCATAACTAATGTATTCATATCTACAGCCGCTCGGTGCATTTTCCCCTTAGTGGCCGCCCACAAGCCCGACACATTATTACCCATGAGAATACACCAATCTCACTGAAAATCCTGTAAATATTCATAATTTAACACAAAGGAGGAGGCCCTGCGTCATTACAGCACCTGCCGGCGTGTAATGCAATTTGACCTGCGTGCTGAGAGTCAAAGGCATTCAGTATTATGAATATTAGCAACAGTGTTAGCGATGCCTGGCGCATACACAAAGACTGAAGTCTGGGATGTGTTTCTTCCCGATGCGAAGACACACGCGCACACACACATGCTGAGACTCTCCAGGTTATTGGTTATGAAAGGGAGGGGCAACAGCGAAGGTGTGGTTGTCATGGAGATGAGAGGAGCGGAATGGGATTTGTTGTATCAATAACCTTGAGGAGACAATGGGAATTAATCATGGACAGACAGTGGCGGCTCGTCCAGGAGAGCAAGAGACTGGGGACGTACAAAGAAGGGAAGAGGAAAATTAATCGTGTAATCAGTCGCTCATTATCAAATTATTCTATGAACAAGAGCTTGCGATTAATAATGCAGGATTGTCCTTTAGCAAACAAGCACTTCAGAAGTTAAAGAGAAAGGCTTGCCAAAAAAAATAAATATCTGGATAAATTAAGGCCATTGAAACATAAGTATTTTTACAACTATTTTAAGTTTAATTTAAATATGTATTTACAAGTATTTAATTAAAATATATATTTACATAAAACATATAAATGCTTTTAATTTTTGAAGGCTTCATTTTCATTACGTCTTAGCCTTTATATAATTAAGTAGATTTTTATGTGTTCTGAAGAAAATAAGCGGTTTAATAACGATGCTAGCCGTAGTAAGCAGGTAATTAATTGGGCACACTTTGAGATTAAACGCTTGGGTAATGATTTCTCTTGTCCTGATGCAGGGTCTTTATTTCCCCTGGAGATCCAGCGTGACCTTTGTGGGTTATCTGATTTGATCTTGTCATCTATTTCCAGGAAATGCAAGTGGAAGAGCTTAGCGCAGTAAGACAGACCCTGCAAGCTGATCTAGAGACATCAATCCGGCGTATCGTTGATCTACAAGCCGCGCTGGAGGAGGTGGAGTCCAGCGATGAAAGTGATACAGAAAGGTATCGCTAATGACGTGCGCCTGACCTTTTCCATTTCCTTTTTGGTTCATTCCATGTAATAGTGTGTTGAAGAAAGTATGCTATATGCTTGGATGGTGTATAACTTCCAGTGGATTTTCGAAGTATCGTCATGCATTTTATTTTATTATTTTTATTTAATTTAATTTAATTATATTTTATTTTGGGGAGAAGGGGGTGCTGATATGCTTTGTCTTCTGAATAATGCATGCGCATTAGTCGAGACCCCCCACGTCTCTTCACTTTCAGTTGTCTGTGTGAACGAAAAAGGGGATAAAATGAACTGTGTTGCATTTGTTCGGAGCTTTGGGTCTTAAATCTCTGTACGAATGTAGTGAGTCCAATTACAAGAGCAGGGTAGTAGAGAACCCACGGCATATGCAAGCAAATTAACAATGTTTTTGTTACCTTACTCTTGTATGTTTGAATAAGAGCTTCTGGAAGCTAGAATAGGTTTTGATGCAATGGCTCTGTTCCAAAACCTAGTGATCTGCCCAGCATTTTAAGTCATCATATGCATACACACAACAAGAAACCGTTTCTAACTGTTTTGAGCAAATTCTAAAGTAGCATCACATGTATTCATAAATAGTTCAATCCCTGAATGCAATGCAACAAGCAATTTAAGCAGAGTGCTATTATGTATGTATTTAATGCAGTTCTGAAAATCATCCCCAAATAAAATCTAATAAAAAATGCAATTTAGCCCATATTTGTGTGAATGCACATTTTATGCTTAGTAGAGTATCTCTTGCATCATTTAGCAACAACATGAACTCTGTTGTAATCAGTTGTGAGTAGTAGCAAACTTGCTGCATACTGTAGCACAAAAAGTGCTTCTTAGTTCTGTGGAGTTCAAACAGTAGAGCATGGTGCAAGCAACGCCAAGGTCATCGGTTGGATTCCCAAGGAATGCATAAATTTGATTAAATGTATACCTTAAATCCAGTGTAAGCAACTTAAATACATGTGTCTGCCAAATGCATAAGCACAGATGCAAATATATGCCTATGCAGAGCATTCCAAATGTGCTTTGCTTGGATGGATCCATGAAGCCCCTTCTAAATCCATGGAACCTTTCAATTGCACAAAGGTTCTTTATAATGGAAAAAAGGTTCTTCAGATTAGTAAATTAATCTTCACACTAAGAAAAAAATGGTTCTTTTAAGAATTGATCACTGAAAGGTTCTTTGCTGAATCCAAAATGGAGGTTCTATTGCATCGCTACAAAACCCCCCTTTTAAAAACGTCATTATTAAGAGTGTGGGATGCTCTATTAGAAGATAGCTGCCTTTTTAGGCAAATAGCAGCAAGGCAGCACTCTAGCTCTTGGAACAGAGCTTATGTTTTGGGATCTCAAGCAAACAGCTTTAGTCAGTCTGTAAACAGGCTGTGGATCAGTGCGTTGTGCCCCTACGAGCCCTGATAATGCCAGCGCTCTCAAGACTAATGAACTCGCAGTTCACTGAACACACATGGCCTGCTGGGTAGCAATGAGGATATCAGAGCTAATATCACCCCCATGTGTGGCGTTACAGCCCCCATGACGAGAGATCTCCTCTCAAGCCATGTGCATGATCATATTCATGTAGGTCATGTATGCATTGATATAGGCTTCGATCGCTTGCGCTATGAGAGCATGTTGCACAAATCTTGATCCATCCATTGAAAGGCATGATATGATTTTCACACTTGGTGACATGGGGTTTGAATTTCAGCGACACCATGTCCAGCGTCGGATCCAGTGTGGGCACTGAAGACGTCGGCGAAGGGATCCGTCAATGGGCAGGTGTACCGCGGGGAGGCCGAGGAGGAAGAACTTCTCCTTACGCAGGAAGCAGCTCCGGCCGCCAGTCTGTTACCGACAGCATGAGCACCTACAGTTTCAGGTAACACAGCAAGAAAAGTCTGATAATCAATAAGTACGAGTGTGCTTCAGTAAACAAGGTAACACTACCAGACCAGATTAGGTAAGTAGTCATTTTTAGCAGACATGGCTTTAATCCTGTGAAACACAAAAGGAGAAATGTTGAAGAATTCATTTTTTCTGTACAAACTGTCAAAAAAAAAAAAAAGTAGTGTGAGAATAAGTATTGCGTAGCTTAAACTTTGACTGTCAGAGGTCTGGACTCTGTAGCCGCTTCAATTGGTCAAGGACCGCCCACTTAGGCCGTCTGACTGACATGTAAAGCCAATAACAGTCCAATAACAGTTTGTTTTGTTCAGTGTCATGTTTGGGGGTTAATGTCGCTACGATAACAGATCTGCGTGCAACAATATGTCATTCAATCAAGATCGACATAAATGTTAAAGCAAATAATGACGCAACAATCTGCAGTAACATTTTATTTTGATAGTCCATTTTAGACATTCTACTGACTATAAGTAAATTTGCAACTACATGTCTGTGCCGATAGCCTCGTGGGCAGCGTGCTGACATATAGCACCATTGTGCTTCGGGTGTCCCGAGTTCGAGTCCCAGCTCGTGGACCTTTCCCGATCCCATCCCCCTCTCTCTTCCACTTCGCTTGGTGTCAACTAACTGTCCCATCAAAATTAAGGCAAAAAACATAAAAAATTAATCTTTAAAAAAAAAGTTTAATTTGCAACTACGTCAACTATAAGTTATTAGAATATTTGAAGACTGTCTGCTTAATATCTGCTATTATTTTTCAATGGTCCACCAATATGCATTCATAACAGTCTACTCATACTCTATTGAGAGTTAGTTGGCATGTAGTTGCAAAGTTACCTGTAGTTAGTAGAATGTCTAAAGTGGAATAAAGTGTACCCCAATCTGCATTAGAAACAAGCAACTAAACATTGGATTACACCTAAACAAACTTTTGAAATCCAGCATCTAGTTGCTTATGTGAAGTGCCACAGTCTTCATGAACATGTACGCATCTTTTATATTCATTGTTATTGTCTGTCTTTTATTCCCTATGACAGATCTTGCACACAGGACCTGGACGAAGACGTCAAAGAAAGTTCCGGTGGTCTTGGCAGAGCGTCATCATCCACGGCCCTATCTGAGCTCCTGGAGGGTCTGAGGAAGAAGCGCGCTGGGTGGGAAAGAGGCTCAGAGGTAGGCGAGGGGAGCGCAGTGTCCCTTCCCATCTATCAGACGACAGGGGCCTCCACGCTACGCCGCAGGTCTTCAGCGCTGTCTCTAGAAGCAGAGGAGGGTCTGGAGGACCTGCCTCGGCCCAGCATATTGAAACCTCCCAGTCCCCACCTGCCCCGTGCCTCCAGCCTCCGCTCCCTATCCGAGGCAGGCCCAACGTCCTCCACCACCACAACCACCACAGGAAAGATGAACCGTTTCAGCTCCTGCGACTCCCTCGCATCCGTGACCTCCACCGCAAGTTCCCGCCGCCACTTGTCCAACCTGTCCATCCCTGAGGAAGGAGAGGAGGAGCCCAGGTCGAAAGCCATGCCTCCTCTTGGGCCCTATCAACCAATCCGACGTCGATTACTCGGCGGCCTGGTGGCGGAAACCGGAGAGTCGCAATTGGGATCGGAACCGCTTGTGTTCCAGAATCGCAGACTCCTTGGGAATCAAGACAAGGAGAGGGCTGGAGTCGATGCAGGGGACACCAGCTCAGACATTCTCCCAGCAATCCGACGAGCACGGTCCACTAGCAGTCTGGCATCAAGCGGTTCCCGAACGGGCCAGAGACGAGCCCTCAGCGTGCACTTTGGGGAGTTGCCGCCGTCCAGAGCGTCGCGTAGGGAGTCCGACTCAGACTCTTCAAGTTCTGGAGGATCTCAGAAGCACCGTGGGCCTCAAGAAGAGAGGCTGGAAGCCGAGGGCAGCGAGGACGTCAATTCTGTGATGAAGAAGTACCTCAAAAAAGCAGAAGTGGACTAGAAGACTCAACGAGGTTAAGCTTAAAACTGCACTGGCCTGCTTTACATTTAAGGGGGTCATATCATGAGGAACCTAATTTTCCCTGATCTTTTGAGATGGAGTTTGTACTGAAACATACTGTAACTTTGAGAGCTTGACACTTCTTCCCCAGTCCAAATCCAGGGATATTCTGAAATCCTTGGATTTGTATCGTCAGAAACCTTGGATTTAGGATGTCAGAAACATTATCTTTTGATCACCCACACATCACAAATGTCAGTTTGCTATTTAGGTATTAATATGTACCTTTAAGGTACCAATATGCACTCTTTAGGTACAAAGGTGTACCTTTTGAAAGGTTACCCCCACAGTGACTGCTTTTGTACCTTTTTTCTGAGTATGCAAATTGAATGTTAACATGCAAGTATTAAAGGCACTGCTGCAAAGAAAAAAAACTATATTTTACAGTAATAGAGGGGGTGGGAAATGGTGTGTGACCCCTTTAAATGACACAGAAATTCTGAAAAAAAAATAAATAAATAGCAACATGAAACTATATTGGCTTGTGAAAGGATGTAAATCATTTAATCACTTTTTTCTTTCTGCTGACAGGATGGATGAAGACGTGGAGAATCATCCTTGTCCAGAATGCATTGAGGCACATTTAAAGCACAAATACACTGAGGATTTATTTTGAGCACCGTTTGTACACAAATAGAAATGTTAAAGGTGAACACATCAAATTCCTAAAATTTTCAGTGTAAACATGCCCTTTATTTGAGCCGTGTGGATACCCTCGGGTGCTTCAGGTCGGGGAAATTAATCTTGACCAGTGAGCACTTGCTTCCCCTCTCAGCAGTCAGTGCAAATTTGTTGAACTCCAACAGATGTAAATAAAAATGTCAAGCAGAATCATTGGTATTTGCTTCAACCTTTCAAAGGAGAGGAGCAGCATCACAGTCACAGAGGAAAACAACTGAAATCAAGCCTTTTTACAGAGCAGAGATTGTGCTTACAATGCAGAGGCTCTCCATAATAATGGAGCCTGACCTTGTTTCTGCAATTGAATCATTATCTTAGACTTATTTGCCTAGGAACGGAGTAAAGAAAATAGTTTGTACTTAATTGCCAGAACAGAATTTGAAGCTACTACACACAGTGACGACATGCTCTATATAAATGCACTTGGTAAGCATAAACAGGCTAAAGGAATATTCCAGGTTGAGTTATGCTAAATTGTAGCATTTGTGGCATAATGTTGGTTAATCACAAAGAATAATTTTCCTTGAGGTTACAGTGAGGCACTAAAAATGGAAGTAAAGAGGCTTATTTTGTAGGTTTTAAAAGCAGAAGTGTAACTTTTTATACAAGCTCTTTTAACTAATAATCATTCAGTGTGGTTATTACCATTATGCCACAAATGCCATAAATTGAGCTTAACTTGTACTGAGCCTGGAATACTCCAACTACATTTTAGATCCATTTACTGAAAGCAGCACATTACAGTGACTTTACCACAGTAAGCGTTTTCTTAACCCTTACCTGTGGTAAATCACTATAATGCAGTGCCTCGGATTTAAATTGGTGCTTCCGCTACATTTAGATGACAGCTGAGACAGGTGTACGCAACCCAGTCATACTTTCTTTCACAGATAAAATGTTTTTCCAGAGACAATGACAAGTTTGCTTTACCCTCCAACAGTTTTATTGACAGGAAGCTTAACTACAATGGGACCATGGTGAGAAATTTGAGATCCCAACTCAAATGTCCAGCAGCGGCCTTCTGGGAATGTGCCGCTTCCCATCCACATCTGCAATAAGAGAACATGATCAATGCTTTAGTCTCTACATAATCAATTTAGTACATCTACAGGTCCTTGCCTGGTCACACCTTTGCAGCTTGCGCCTTCCGTCCCCTTCCTTTACCCTGAAGGAAACAGATGTTAATTTGTGCATAGCTTTAGAAAAAGAAAAAAAAATTAGAAAAAAAGGCACCTTTTTAGGTGGATTTTCACCATCTGAGGCTTTCCTGCATTTATGAAACATTTGATTAGCTTGCTTTGAGAAACAAATGAAAGTTAAGGACAATTAAAAACTCAATTAAATGTTAGATGTAACCTACTCATCCTCTCCCTTTTCTGGCTTCTTTCTCTTTAAATAAGAAAGGGAGCAGTGAGAATTGGAACAAATTTCATTTAAACTACTTGTGACCTATGAGACCAGGCCTTACTTTGCCAGCACCATTTTTTGTGACTTTAACAGGTGATTCTTCAATATCTTCCTCCTCCTCTTCTACCTCCTCATCCATCTCTTCTTCATCAGAGTACTCCTCCACTGGGAGAGATTTTGGCACAAGACCGTTGACTTAAAGTAACCACAGACAGCAGCTAAAAATAGAGCTGAAGCGACCACTCACGGGCCACATGTTCAGCTCCGACGTACACCGGCCCAGAGCCACGCTTCAGGCGAAAGGTCACGGGTGGATGAAGATCCAATCCAGACAGGTTGACCTGATGGAGAATGAAACTTCATGGGGAATAGACTTGTGGAAGTAAATGGATTACTGTACCTCCTTTCGGAGTAAACTACAAAAGACCACATAACATGGTTTAACAATTTGTTTTTTTTAACCCTGTGGTGCTGAAAACAAAATAGATCTAAACAATTTCCAACTTAAGCGGTTGTAGATCTTGAATTACTTGGAGCACTGTTTGGTCTCTTTTTAATGACAACACTTGGCAGATTACCGCTGAAGTAAAAAAAAATAAAAAAAAGTTAGAATTTTAAGCTCATTTTGAAAAAATTATATTAATAAAATTAAAATAAAAAATTGAATAAATAAATGCATTTTTTTTTATTTTATTAATATAAATATTTATTTTTAATTTCACACACACACACACACACACGCACGTGTGTGTTCTTCAATATCTTCCTCCTCCTCTTCTACCTCCTCATCCATCTCTTCTTCATCAGAGTACTCCTCCACTGGGAGAGATTTTGGCACAAGACCGTTGACTTAAAGTAACCACAGACAGCAGCTAAAAATAGAGCTGAAGCGACCACTCACGGGCCACATGTTCAGCTCCGACGTACACCGGCCCAGAGCCACGCTTCAGGCGAAAGGTCACGGGTGGATGAAGATCCAATCCAGACAGGTTGACCTGATGGAGAATGAAACTTCATGGGGAATAGACTTGTGGAAGTAAATGGATTACTGTACCTCCTTTCGGAGTAAACTACAAAAGACCACATAACATGGTTTAACAATTTGTTTTTTTTAACCCTGTGGTGCTGAAAACAAAATAGATCTAAACAATTTCCAACTTAAGCGGTTGTAGATCTTGAATTACTTGGAGCACTGTTTGGTCTCTTTTTAATGGCAACACTTGGCAGATTACCGCTGAAGTAAAAAAAACCAAAAAAAGTTAGAACTTTAAGCTCATTTTGAAAAACGCACAAAAATGGAAGTTCTGACATTTTCCAAAACGTGTTTAACTCAAACTGCATAGAAAAAAAAAGCCATAAGATCTAAGCTAGTTGTGTTCCAAATTTGAGGTTGATACGCTCTCAGAAAAAGAAAAAAAAAAAAAAAAAAAAAAAAAATGGTAGATGGTAGACCTACACAAATGCAGAGATAAACACCTATAGATAGATGCCTAATCTGTAACATCAGTAATCTTAAATTTATCAGCAGGACTTCAGACGAACGAGACTGCAAAAATCATCATACGTTACAGATGGAATAGAGCACCGAGGGG